ACTTGTAAGGTAAGGTAAGGTTACAGCCTATATACGTCCCACTGCTGGGCACATGCCTCCCCTCATTTCTGAGAGGGTTTTAGGGCAAGGAAGTGTGCGCCGCGCTGCCCCAATGCGTGTTGGCGAACTTCACATGTCTTCGAAATATTTTTTTCTTATTCCTCAGACATGCAGGTTTCCTCACGATGTTTACCTTCACCGCCGAGCAGGTGGTATATCAGCACTTAAAATTGCAATTAACAATTTCATTGGTGCCGGCGGGGATCGAACCCGGGTTGCTCGCGTTCTGTTATATTTACAGCGAGCGCTAACCATCTGAGCTACCACGGCTCACAATAATTGCAGCCCTTCACGGCGGCAGTAGACTTGTGAAGGGCTGCAATTATTAAATAGAGCACGAAAAAATATTATCTACATAAACAGCATGCGTGGTAGAGTCACGCTGCAGCTATATTATAGTTGTAGCATGAATGAGTCGGCTCGATCGGGGAAGGACCACGCTCTTACAGAATACCAGCGTAAAATAGCAGCTTCGGCAGTATTAAGTGTAGACAGTTTTTTTACTGGAAACGGGGCCTTTTATCTTAGTCCACAAGGGGTGACAACGCATCTTCGTTTTGATTCTTATTTGAGGATAAATGTAGATGTCTATGGGCCACAGCATCCACTTACCATCAGGTGGAGTGTGGGCTCGTTTGTCACTCTATCAAGAAATCTTCCTGTTCCTTATTAAACTAGCTAACAACTGGTACTACAGCATATACTGTAAAAAAGAAGCTTTACATATGTTGAAACAGCTAGAATTTAGTTATTTCCAGAGTATAATAAAAAAAGTAAAGTAGCAGCCTATATACGGCCTTCCCTCATTTCTGAAAGGGTTTTGGAGTCAAGGAAGTGTCCGCCGCGCTGCCCCAATGCGTGTTGTGGACTTCATACGTCTTCGAAATATATTTTGTTTTATTTCTCAGATATGCAGGTTTCCTCGTAATGTTTTCCTTCACCGCGGAGCACGTGATTAAATCAATACTTAAATTTGCAATTAACAGTTTCATTGGTAGCGAGGATCGAACCCGGGTTGTTCGCGTATAGAGCATAATGTCTTATAGAATCTTACTATGGAGGAATGCGCCTAACATTAGAACTATCTTTGTTTTACAGAAGAGAGCTATAAAACAAATTTATAAACCAGGTCTGAAGGACTATCTAAGAAAAAATTTAAGCAATAAATATGTAAACAATATGTATACGTAATAGAGCAACCCTGCAGCTATAGTACGGTTGTAACAGGAATGTGACTTCTCGACCGAGGAAGGACCACGCTCTCACAGAACCCCAGCGTAAAATAACAGCTTAATACCGCTATTTCGCGTGATGAGTGTGGAGAACCGAAGACCCTTTAAAATAGTGACTTACATCCGTGAATACTAGAAACAAGCAAATGTTAGTAATACCAGCTACTCAACTTCAAAAAGTCAGAAATGGGGCAATGTTAGCGGTTTCACAAAAAAGTTCTAGACAATAATTATTATGTTAAACTAGCGATCCGACACGACTTCGCACGAGTGATCTCGACGACAGCGCCACCTACCGGGACCAAATGTGAATATAAATTATCTACGGACCCATCCAAACATTCACAAAAAATTTCATCAAAAATCCGTCAAGCCGTTTTTGAGTTTTAGCGAGACTAACAACGTAACGTACAGCAATTGATTATTATATATTATAGGGATTTTACATATGCAGTAGAAATTGTTAATAATGATATAGAGAGCAATTAAATAGGTACATTTGATTGTTTCGTTGGTCTAGTGAACTTGGTTTGTTTTGTTGAATTCGAGCGAGGTTGGTTGTTATGAGAAGGTGTTTGCCTGATGATAATCTGAGAACTAAGTCTGAGACTGACCACAATTACAGTTGCTCTGGAGGACATAATTAAAAAGAGTACACGAATGATAATAACCCCTGAGTATGAGGTGATCGTTACAATGATAGGCCTTCGTATTTAATTGTTCAATCTATATTAAATAAAATTTCATTATTCTATTATCTTCTACTCCATTATCTTCCACTCTTTTCTTGAATCATGTAGGTAGGTACTCTACATACCTACATGATTCAGGAAAAGTTTAGCTGTAGTTTCATCATAATTTTCCCTATTAATATAATTACACAAAATCTCATATTTAATAAATAGTAGAGAATGGTAGAGAATAGAGTGAATTTTTATATGCTCAGTCATAAATTTATATATCGGGTCCTTACATATGAAATTAGCGTTTTCTCGTACTGACCACTTTGATTTGAAATATATCCTCGTTGGTTAAGAATTCCAAATTCAAATTTATAAATCCATTTAGCTGCTTGCTACATTTGAGTTTTGAAAACAGTCATTCATTTGTTTTTTCCTCACAATTTTTTTCTTTGGCGTCGCTTAATACTGCACAATGGAAAACATGAAATATCGGTATATTTACGATTACCAGTTCTACCGTGGAACCAATGCTGTAGAATAGCTCGAAGGATTAATGATGTGTACGGCGCTGGTGTCGCAAAAGAAAGCTCGGTACGTTTTCACGTTCAACGTTTTTTACTTGTGATGAAAAGTGGATACTGTACAATAATCGGGAGTGCTCGTCGCAATGGCTGAACTCTGGAGACCCAGCCAAATCCTGCCCTAAACGAAAATTGACTCAGAAAAAGTTACTTGTAAGTGTTTGGTGGACTAGCGCCGGTGTCGTTCACTACAGCTTTCTAAAATCTGGCCAAACGATTACGGCAGACATTTATTGTCAGCAACTGCAAACCATGCAGGAAGAACTAGCTGCTAAACAATTGAGATCGGTCAATCGCTCTAGGTCACTGCTGCTTCACGACAACGCAAGACCACACACTGCACACTGCACAACCACTAAGTTAGATGAGCTACAATTGGAATGTCTGCGACATCTACCGTACTCCCCGGACTTTGCTCCAACAGATTACCATTTTTTCCGGAATTTGGACAACTTCAACTCCGATGCGGCAGTCCAAACCGCCTTCAAAGAATTTATTGATTCTCGCGCCCGTGGTTTTTTTTAGTAAAGGGATCAATGAACTACCTATGAGATGGCAAAAGTGCATAGATAACAACGGGGCGTACTTTGATTAATTAAATATATTTTACAAAAAAAATGACTTTATATGCCTCCCGTAAAAAACGCCAATTTCATATGTAAGGACCGACGGTTGCACCGATTTTGGTGAAATTTTGTGTGTGTGTGTGATTATAATGTTCGAGAATGGTTCAGATTAACAATATGACCCGTTAGGTGGCGCTGTTGTAGAGATCTAGAAATCGCGTGTGAAGTCGGGCGGATCGCTGGCACTTATACAAACTTTTGCTTCGATTCGAACAAGTGATACTCGACTATCGAGGCGTTGAACTCTTTGAGTATTAATGTAGAGTCGATAGAGCTTACGGGTTAAAAATACTCAAAGGTTGAACTCTACAAAAATGTGAAAAGTATTAAAATAATAAAATCTATATAAAATCCAGAAGAAAATCTTCATTTTCTTTACTTAATGTTATAGATTTAGCTTCAGTAATTAAGTATTTAAAAAAATAAATAATTATTTCATTTAATTCAATTGGCGATTTTATTATACGTGTGTAATTTTTAATATTTCCTACGCAACATAGTATAATGAAAATTTTGAAGTAGCAATATAGCTCGAATAACCGACAACTGAAAAAGAAGAAATATAAAGAAGAAAGGCAGCCTCGTACCGGTAGGCGAAGTGTAGGGCCTACTTCCCCCCACTAAATAGAGTGACGACCCGGCAAGACACGCAGAAGTCGATTTTTTTATAGTAGGGTGACAAACGAGCACACAGTCCACCTGATGGTAAGTGGTTGCTGTGGCCCATAGACATAAACATCTATCCTCGATTACGAATCAAAATGCAGACGCGTTGTCACCCGTGAGGACTAAGATGGATTGCCTCGTTTCCAGTAAAAAGGGTCTCCGGTTCTCCACATTCACCACTATTTGACGCTGGTATTCTGTGAGAGCGTCGTCCTTCCCCGGTCGAGCCGACCCATTCGTGCTACAAATATACTACTATGAATGCATGTGGCTCAGGACCGTGCTTTGTGGCATTCTTTGGGGTAGGCCTATGTTCAGCACTTTGTGGACTTGTGAAGGGCTGGAATGAATGAATGATGAAATTAAAAAAAAACAATGTTACATGTTATGTTTTAAAGTATAAAGGTAAACACTAAAAATCGTTAATTGGCTCAGCTTGTGTAAAGGGAGAAACAAATACGACTACATACATTTTTGCCAAATTTTCTCCTACAATAATGCCAAAGAAAATGGCGCGGAAAATCTTTCCCGGCATTCGGCATCAATAACAAACCTTCGGATATGCTCGGAATATATTCGGAAACGTTCGTGCTTTGATAAGTGTGAAGCTGTAAATGAAAACGACATGTTTGAAAATTTCCTAATTATTAGGTTAATTTGAAACAAAATTCTGAAATATAATATAAATTATAAACCACATTTAATGTTGCTTGATTTAAAAAGACAATAGGATAATGAGTTTATTTTTACATGGGTTATCATTGTCACCTGCTGTTGTATAACAATATAATACCGTAAGTATTGATTATAAAAATAATGGAAAGACGCAATACGTGTGGAAAACGTGTTTAGTTTTGTTATTAATTAGTAAATTAAAAAATTAATAATATAAGTCATCAAGAAAATATAATATTTTGGATATTTAAATATTTAATATTGAAAAGTTAAATATTAAAAATATAAAGTTATCCTTGCCTTATATCTTTATCGTAGAAAATATATAAAAAAAATTATACAAATATCATTTAAAAATGTTTTTTCTGCTGAACGAATTTAATATTGCAGTTCAGTAAAGTAACAATAAACACAGTTAAACATTTGTTTTGTAACGTTTCTGCACTGTAACTAAAAACGTTATTGTTGACCTAAAATATGGTAATAGTTAAAGCAAAAACTGGCAACACATACTGTCTGTCGATGCACGTTGTGCGACACAGCGACATCGTCTCGTGCGATCATAACGCAACACAACAGTGTTTAGTTTTCTTGGCAGTTAAGCTGGTGTGCTACGTTCAATATTCAGCCCGTGTTTATTGTGAGCGATTAGTGATAACGTGCGCTGTTTATCGTTGTATAACATTTGCATACAAGTAAGCATATAATTTTTTTTTGGGAAAATAATTTTTTTTATATTAAACCTGTAACTAAGTATAAAGGTACTGGAGAAATTGAATGCGTTCTCTTGTTTTGAAAAGTATATGTTCATAATATATGTCTACAATCAAACTTTAGAATTCTTTATCATATTTTGTACCTACAGAAATAGATTACAAACACAAATAAATCGGACAAACAATATATTTACAGTATACAGTTGTACTTGTACACTATTGATTTTCTTTCGTGTTCGTTATAAAATGCAGCTACAAAAACTTTACAGGTGCAAGAAACAGTAAAAAGATCATGGCAGAAGACTCGAGCGCTACAATCACCAAAGTTACGGTAAAGCACAATACAGGTGAGAGGATATCACGCATTTTTCCACGACACTTAGATTTATATTTAGGTACTAATTTAAAAAAATCATGAAAGTTAGTAATCCGCATCAACTGAAAATATAAAGCAATATTTTTAAAAAAAACTGCCCTAGTAGGATAGAATAAGGAGGTAACCTCTATGTCCCCCAGTATTTAATGTTATTTTAATGGGAATTTTATGAAAACACACTCACTATACGAAACACAGTAGCATTAAGCTACTATTTGACGCTGGTATTCTGTAAGAGCGTGGTCCTTCCCCGGTCGAGCCGACCCATTCGTGCTACAACCATAATATAGCTGCAGCGTGACTCTACCACGTACAACACTAAAACCCGTAGTCTCGAAAACGGCTCTACCGATTTTGATGAATTTTGTGTTTATTTAAATGGGTCCCTAGATGGTTTAAAAACTAAATTAGACCCGGTAGGTGGCGCTGTTGTCGAAACCCAGAAATAACACGTGCGAAGCCAAGGCGGATCGCTAGTGTATAATATATTTGACCTGAAAATTAAACTACTACTACAGTTATATTATTGGTATAGTTGTAGCACGAATGGGTCGCCTCGACCGGGAAAGGACCACGCTCTCACTGAATACCAGCGTGAAATAGTAGCTTAACGCTGCTGTGTTTCGTATGGTGAGTGTTGAGACCGGAGACCCTTTTTACTGGAAACGAGGCATTCCATCTTAGTCCTCACGGGTGACAACGCATCGTAATCGAGGATAGATGTAGATGTATATGGGCCACAGCAACTACTTACCGTCAGGTGAACTGTGTGCTCGTTTGTCACTCTATCCTTTACAAAAAATCAATATTAATGATTTCTTATATTTACGCGAACATTATAAAGTCCCCCGTGACCATGGGTGCTGAAAAGCACCCGAAACGTCGGGTATTAAAAATAACATAAATAAACGCGATAAAATCCGTATAAGTAGTTTGAATGTATAGTGTTCGCGTAAATATAAGAAATCATTATGTAAACCAGTACGGACTGGAAATTCAATATTGTCATCAAATGAATTAGGTAATGCTATTTCTCTATAATTCGTTATATTAAGTTCTTTTAAAAAATGTTTCGTAATTTCGGATTCTATAGTAATTAGTGTGACAAACGATCAACACTCCTGGCGTGGCTGGCTGCTGCAATCATCTTTACAGAAAGAAGGCACTTGAGAAAGAGGGCACTTTAAAATAATGCCTGGTCACACACGAAAAATCAAATCCTCTTAAAAATGTTAAGACTACACATCGAAAAGGCTATCGCCGTACTGATCCCAGTGAATACATAATTTCTATAAAAACTTGAAAAAACGCCGTCATAAGGTCTAAAATAGCGTAGCGCCCGCGACGATTAAAAGCGCTTAGAAATTGTCAGAATCTTACTATATTTTTTAAAAATTATTGATTTAAGTTATCAAAATAATGAGCAAGCAAATTATGAATATAATAATAATAATATAAAAATAATAAAATAAAAATAAAATAAATATTGATGTTATGAATATATTTGAGTGATTCCCAAGCATATAGATCAAATGATTTCGTTGTAATTTCAACTATATTGATTTTTAGAGGTGTTTTCGCAAATAATTATGATCGATCGTGTTTTTGAACAATCAAATTTAAGATAAAGACATGAATTTACCTATATCAAAATTCCACTTTCGTTAGTGGTGTCATAGTCCTATACTATTCGATGAAAGGAGATGCATTTTTTCACGGTGTCGCCTTAAGTACTTAGGTAGTTTTGCAAACTTTCCGTTATGGCTTAGGTATTTCAAAAAGTTATTATATCTTGAATATTTTTCCTGTCTAAATTATATATATAATATAATAAGATAGAAAGAAGATAAAAAAATTATGTGAATTTTTATAAGCACTAAAGCAGAAATAATTCGAAAGAACGATATTTCATTAATTCCGATATTTTTTAAATGCGCTAGTTCGCATTGCATATGCTATCACTTATACTCATACTTGTGTCAGGAGTGGGTTTTCGTTTTATTAAAATTTATTCTGTAAAGTGAGTCATAATTTATAACCTCATAATGGTAACCGAATGACGAATGCGAATCCTACGACCTTTGTTTCGCAGTGCGTAACCATAACCACTAGGCTACAGTCGTTCAATTTGTTTAAATTGATATATTCAACATTATTTTAATAGAATACTGTATTATTTTATTATATAATATAAATATATAAATAAAATAACGCACTGTTTTAAAAATAAATAACAAAACAATATATTTACCAATTTCATATCTACTCATACATCCCGTATGGTCTAGTGGCTAGGATACCTGGCTTTCACCCAGGAGGCTCGGGTTCGATTCCCGGTACGGGAAGAAGCTTTTTGACATTTTTTGATACTTTATCAAAAATGCCATGAATTTATTAAAAACCAATAATCACTATCCTGGGTTAGTAGGTTGTTGCTTATAGAACCTAAATGTATAAAAGTAAATATTTTTGTATAAATATAAATAATAATTATTATGTATACGATCAAATAATTCTCTTTTATAAACGAGTTGTTGTTACCTTGTGTCACATTATTATTATTATTTGCATTCAAATGGGTCACAGTTTATTGGCTATAACCATAACAGCGTCGTCCTATTTTGCGGCTGCGGGTTGATTTGTGAAGATGACCCAAGACTGCCCTTGCTTACAATCGGTTTCAATCTTTGAGTATTCAACCAACACTCAAAGGTTTCAATATATTCATTTCTGTTGAATATACGACAGCTTCGTCATACATTAATAGATATTTTAATCGCAGCCATTATGTCATCAGTAAGAAACGTAAAATACGTATAGGTATAGGTACTAATATGTTACATTAGCATTTTTATTTGTATGAATAATATTTTTAAGTTCCTTTAACATATCTATAAAAATCTATTTAGTCTTTTGATGGAGAGACATAATTATTGATCATGTTTTTGTTTTATTTACAAATTAAAAAGTATATAATATGTTTATATTTTTATACAAATGCTAACTATCTAAGTAGGTATATATTGATCTAGTATTCATCAAGTACACTATTGTCAAATGTTTTTTAATGTTATTTACTTGAAAATAATTATCACCCAATTTATTAAAAGAATGTTCTCGAAGTTACGTTGAATTGATTACAGTCACTAGTTTGTTATCTTTTGATGCATTATATTCTTTTCTACTTGTATCAACGTTACATATAAATAAAATACAAATATAGTACTTGAGGGTAATAACTATCTTATAACTCAAAAACTACAAACACAAGACATGAGTAAAGAAACCAACCCTTACTCTGTACTACAGCCTTGTTTGGCCTTGTGATAACATAACTCTTCATTAGTCAATCAAATAGTAAAGGGTCAAAAGTGCCCTTCTTTATCGACGCCATTATTACAGTTGACATTATAGGTAAGTAATAAATATTTTAGACGGTTTTAGTATGGTGTAGTGTTCTAAAGTTGATCTTTCGAAGTGTTCATAATTATTGCCAAATCTTGCTTGTATTTTTTTCTTAATAAAGTGGGTGTACCATGTAAGGCCACTCTAACAAATAAAGGCTTATTATTCGTTTTTTTTACTGGATAAATGAAACTAACAAATATTTAAGTAATAATTTGTTTTATTACATAACATATAAACCACTTTTTTAAATTGCAGATCTAGTCAATATTGTTTGAACTTAAGTTTAATTGAAGTCTTCCATATGGCTTTGCTAGGAACGAGGCTTCTTGGAGGGCCATTATAATAAATCAGTCATTTAACACTAAAGTTTAATAAATAGCTATTAAATCTACAATAAAAAGAAGTGGTTTATATGTTACGTAATAAAACAAAGTATAACTTAAATATTTGTTAGTTTCATTTATCCAGTAAATAAATGAATAATAACTGTTTATTTGTTAGAGTGACCTTCCATGGTACACCCACCTTATTTTAACGTCGTCGATTCTCGAAATCAATGAAGCGAGGGACCGTACTGCCAAAATAGTAGCGCGAGCGATTCGCCACCGCGTCTGTGATTTTCAGTTCGATGGATGTTTGTGTAAGTAGAAGAAATTTGTCATCACATGGCAATAACTACGACATTTTAATAATTGGCCTTCGAAGGAGTATGGCCTTCCATGGTCCACCCACTTTATGTTAGTTATAGTATACTACGACTTTCTTTTTGCCGCTGTCCTCCGCCTAGTTTTGGTTTTATAGTGCGGCAAAGCTTAATCACTTTAACACCAAAATATATACATATTGTCCCAATCTATATTTTTTCGTAATCACGTAAATATCCTTGTCTTCCCTAAGAAACCATACGTTTATATCGCATTTATATCAAATTTAAGGAAGTAAAAAGTTCCAAAGCTAATTAGTTAAAAATACATTTAAACAGTTTGGAGTTCTAATTCAGTAATAGCATATAGGTTATATTGAGCGTACGCCGGTGTCACCGCAAATAGATCTTTTGTAGGCGGTATTTCTAAGAATATATTACACACTCATAGATATTGAACTCTGTATTTGCTCTAAAATTTTAAATATTACATAATTTCAATAAAATACGATAGAGTAAGTTTTTAATTCGTATTGATTTAAAAAAAAAGTAAGAGAAAATTTCACTAGAAAAACTTGTCAGATATTTCATACGTATACGATATTCCATACATGTGTTGGGTCAAATAAATTTACAGTACGCGTAACAATATATGGATCTTAAAATTTACACTGTTAACGTTACTCATTTTATTCAATTTTACTAAAAAATCTCAAAATGGGGGCGTGCAAACCTAGTCATAGATTATTATTTTAAACTAGATCCTGTTATTATTCTGCGCGTATAGCAAGAGCGCGTGAGAATCACGATTGACGAGAAATGGCTTAATTTTTACATGAAATGGTTATTGATGTGAGA